TTTCGAAAGTCTTCCGCCTTTCGTCTTCAGAAACTTCTTCTACACTTGTGTCTCTATAACAGGCAGTCGCCGTCCATTCTACAAAGTGTCATCATGAATACTCTGCCTAAACAATCTATCAAAGAATGTTTTTGTTGTTGTTTTTTTTGCTGTAGTTGATTGTTTACTACAAAATGTTTTTATCAAGAAAATATTAATACTGTTAAGTTAAAATTAATTGCATTAACACGAATGTTTTCATTTATCAGTAACATGTCATTATAGTTTACAAACAATTGAAAGCTTCTTTACATATAAAGAGCGCATCACTTTGAGATTTTAATATCCGTGTGGTCGATTGCTTAAAATAGAGCATATTATGTTCAGGTATAAATGTTGATGCTCTTATTTTTCATCAATGATATTCACGTGATAGCTAACAAACCAAAGATCTCTATGGCAATTTCATTCTTGATATACAACCATGATAGTTATTTTAAGCGAAAAAACAACCGACTACAGTACTTCAGTTTATAAGAATTATCACTGATTTAAACTATTTAGACAACATAGTAAATGAACAACGTTTTTTTTCTTACAGATACGTTATCTGGAGGCCTTGATGAGAATACAAAGTGAGCTCATCATTATCTAGAAATTCCTTTAAATTCTTAATAAACATTTATCCGAAATATAGCAAGCTTTTGTTGTCGTTTTTTAAAAGATATATAAAGATTCGTAATTCTCTAAAGCTCGTGAAATACATTATCATCCTCTCCTAAACGTTTATAAAATGATATTAAAGTTTTGTAATAACGTTCACCCGTCAAATACTTGTGCAGTCCTTATTTTCGTTTTCACACTACAATACACAGTCTATGAGAAATGTTTCGTACCTGTAGTTTGAGTGGAGCTCTCTGACAGTACTTGTGTAAAAATATCACATTTGTTTACTGTTTACGGACGCCTGCCGATATGTTTTTCAGGTGCTACACATTGCTTTAAGTTTAACCCTTGTCAGAACACACGCCCTCACGCCAAAATCTCACATAAGAACACATTTATCTTTCAGTTTTTGTTTTTTGAACTGAGAACGAGTTTTCTTAGAGTCCAAATTAAAACTCATTGCCCTTCTCTTCTCCAAGTTCAATAGTTCCTGGAAAAGTTCCTTCACTTTGTAATTGGTTTTCGCTGATGTCTCCAAGAATCCACATCCCCAGCGATTAGCCTGATCCTGTCCGTACTGGCTATCCACTTCTCTACTTTCAATCTCGTCACATTTATTGCCTACTAGCATTAGAGGGATCCCTTCCATGTCACCTTTGACCTCTTTGATGACGTCAAAGATAGCCTTCAGTTCTTCCAGACTTTGTTTGCTTGTGACAGAGTACACCATAATAAAAGCATGACCTTTTGAGATATTGAGACGTTGCATAGCCGGAAATTGGTGGCTCCCCGTAGTGTCAGTTATCTCAAGTGTACATATGTTTTTATTGCAGCAAATCACCTGAAAATGAAAAAGACCTAAAGTAAATGCTAATCATTACCGAATATATATATTGTTTAAAAGGAACAGTTGTTAAACTGAAATATACTTCGTTAACAGAAGTTTTTCTTTCAGAATCAAACTCAGTGTTCATTTTCCACGGATATGGCATGAAACATATGACAAATCGACGAGACTGAAAAAAACTAAATATAATATATATGCATTTTTTTATATCAGAAGCGCTGAGGTTCCTGTGCATGAAACCCAATTATCAAATAAGTGTCTAGTTACAGAAAACAACTTCCCGTTCTTCCGATCGACTTTGTGCGCATGCCATAATATGAGAACTTTTTAAGAGACAACTCAAGGTTTTTGTAAAAACATGAAATATCGTCTCTGAATTTAATCACATGGTAATAAGTTAGGATGTTTATCACGGGTGACAAAAGTCCCTTAAACGGAGTCCGTAGACTGAAGCTCTCTTACTATTTTAACCCTTAAATTACTGACTTATTGTTATACCCATTTTGTGTGCTTAAAAGGTTGGAGTGGTTCATTCGTAGTTTTCGATTGAACAAAATACTCGTTTAATATTTACTATTTTCGTAAATAAATAATAGTTTTGTGACCTTCTAATGGTCCTCGATCTTATACAAAGTATAATTCTTGACGCAAAGTTTTTCAATCGAATAACACCCGTAAAGGCTTGATATAGTTTCTCCCCGGTCACATTGTTATTGTTAAATAAAAACGAATTTTACTTGTGTATGCATGTGTATTTATGGACGATATGTAATTAAACTATACGGTCTGATAAGAGACAAAATTATAAACTCTAGATATATAGCCTATACTAGTTTTGCTTGTAGCTTTATATGTATGTATCTCTGTATTTTTGTCCGGTTAACTCATCCCAAAGTTTTGAAGCTAGCAAGACCAAACTTCGCAGGTGTACTCGGGATGACCAGGAAGTGTCCTTATCTATATGGCGTAGCCCCTATACCAAGAGGGCTAAAGACCCTCCGATTGTCACACAGGGGTTTTAACGGTAGGTTTTCAGGGTCAGTGAGCCAAATCTGGTAGATCGGATTTTATGTTCGTAGACCTCCTCGGGATCCCAGGTTGGCTCTGTGTTTGATACTGTGTTCATAATCCCATTCACAAGGAAGCGGAACCGAATTTAGTACATGTGCTCACGTACCGCGGACGGGTGTTCTAAGAATTTTGTTTTTGTGTGTGTTTTTTTCGGTACGTGGGGTAGCTACAGAACTAATTAATGATTATGGAGGAGATTGATCGTTACATTGGGACCACTGTGGATCATGGGGGGAGGGGGAGTTGAATCCCGCAACAGAGCGTCTAGTTCTTACTATCCCTTAAAACCTAGCGATTAATCAAAAGACCAAAACATCAACCAATGCATTGTATTACATAGCATGGACCTTCCATTAGGGCAAATAGTACGGTTGATACAACCAGACATATTTGTTCTTCTTTTGACGTTATTGTTGATTTTTTGTACGGCAAAATATCTTAAATAATTTTAGGTTGTTTATAATCATGCCTCTTACAATAAAGTTCAATCAGTAGTTTGTCTTTCATTGTCTCTGGCAAGAAGGAGTAAGCGCGTGAGTATAATGATTTACCTATTATATTGTGCTTAGGCCTGAAGCGTATAATTTTAAATAGATAGACCCATAAATAGATAAATAGATAGACCCATAACTGATAGTCAGACACATACTCTTGTACAAGAACGTGCAATAAGGAAGTTAAATAAATATTTTACTAGGCAGAAAAAACATACACGTGAAAACTAAAGTTTCAGTAACTGAACAAAGTATTCAAAAACCCTAAAATAATGTACATAAAAAACCTAAATGCTTAATATTATTATGATTCAGTTAAGCTATCTGACAGAGTGTAAATCAATAGCGTTGTTTAGCTGCGAATAAATAATAATTATTAATACACAGTGAACTGCTATACTACATTTCCACCGTTGAGATCTGTGAATAAGTGAACATGATCGTATGTAGTAAGCCATCTAACGGTTTTTAAATTAGCAACGTGCTAATCGGATAAACTATGTAACAGGTTATTTAAATATGATCATGCAGTAAGGATAGTTTTTTATGTTAATGTTCAATTAGATACATTTCGGTTGTTTAGTTACTGCATTACAACGATGCTTATTCAGATACACTTAAATATCGCACTAAGCTATCTAACTTTTTTAAATGAGCATTGTTGTAATTTGTTTTGAATTTCTGCGCTATCCGTCCATAATTTAACAATGAAAGATTAGAGGGAAGGCAACTAGTCATCACCGCCAACTCTTGGGTTACTCTTTTATCAACGAATAGTGGGATTTGCCGTTACATTATAACGTACACACGGCTGAGAGGGCGAGGTGGGATGGGGATTCGAACCCGCGACCCTCAGATTGCGAGTCAAGCGCCCTAACCACCTGGCCATGCCGGACCCACACATTGTTGTAAAGCGATAAACTATCCAACATTGTCTACATGAACATTGTTGTAATCTAATAAGCTGTCTAACTGTCGTGATGATCACTGTTGTAATCTAATAAGCTATCCAACATTGTCTACATGAACATTGTTGTAATCTAATAAGCTGTCTAACTGTCGTGATGATCACTGTTGTAATCTAATAAGCTATCTAACTGTCGTAATGATCACTGTTGTAATCTAATAAGCTATCTAACTGTCGTAATGAACACTGTTGTAATCTAATAAGCTATCTAACTGTCGTAATGATCACTGTTGTAATCTAATAAGCT